GTGCTTGCCAGGCAAGTGCTTATTCAACTGAGCTATCTCCCCAGCCCCATAATTAATTAATTAATTAATTTAAAAGGGAGAGGCGGAGAGAGTATAGCTGCCTCCTGTGTGTGATCTGCACCCACGGTACAAAGGCAGTGCTTTTGTCAGCCCCAGATTGTAGATGGACAAACCGCAGAACAGAGAGGGGAGGGTCTAGCCAGACCTTGAGGTGGCCTGGGAGGTCCCGTGTCCAAGGCCTGCTGAGGCGAGGATCCTCCTGTGCCTCAACTGTGGCCCCAGCCTGAGCAGACTGTGCGCCCTCCACCTCCCGCCGCGTCCATGATCCTGTGACTCCATCCGCATCATTTCATGGCCACCCACACGCCGTACGCTGTGCCCAGGCCTGGGGCAGTAGCTGAGCCACTCAGGGTCACGATCCTGTGCCCCCTGGGTGTGTGGAGTGGCTGGTCCCAGGGCCGCACCTCCTGGAAGCCGCAGAACCCCAACCAAGAGGCACGGGGAGTAGGAGTGGATGGGGTCCAAGGACCTGGGTTTGAATCTTGGCCAGGCACTGGCATGGCCCAAGGGCAGTCTTTGTCCTTCTCCGGGCTTCCATTTGCTCATCTGGAAAATGGGCGTTGTGGTGCCATCACACAGTCAGACGCAGGGACAGTCACAAACCTTAGGGCTGCACCCACAGTCAGCAGCCCAGGCAGAAATCCATGTTGGTAGAAGCCCCTTCAGTTGTCCAAAAAGTAAAATTTGTCCAAGTCTGTGTGTACTGATTCGTAGACACAATGAACTCCACATGGGGTATGCTGGTGCATGCTTGGGATCCCAGCACGCAGGAGGCTGAGGCAGGAGGATGGCTGCGAGTTCGAAGCCAGCCTGGGCTGCATAGCAAGGCTCTGTCTCAAAAACAAAAACAAAGATAAACTGTGAGAATGACCAAGGCAGACTAAAGGAAAAGTGTGTGTGTGTGTGTGTGTGTGTGTGTGTGTGTGTGTGTGTGTGTGGAGGAGAATGCCCTGGTGTATCTATAGGCATCTAACCTGCTCTGTTTTTAAAAAACAGTTGTGTGGCACATCACAGCACTATGCAGGAGGAACAGCTGGAGCTTAGAGGTTCAAGGCCAGCCTGGGCAGCACTGCAGGACTGTCTCCACAAAGAAGTTAACCAGGGTGCAGTGCACAGGCCCGTCGTCCTAGCGCCTCTGGAGGCTGAGGCAGAGGGATTACAAGCTCAAAAGTCAGCCTGAAAGGCCAGCCAGGTAGCTCAGTGGGCTAAATCGCCTGCTCAGGCAGGTGCAGGGAGCGAGGTTCCACTCAACTGTGGCTCCAGCGTGCCACGGCAACCCCACACCCAGGACATACTGGGGCAGCGATTGAGACTGGGTGTGGTGGCACCCACCTATAATCCCAGCACTTGGGAAGCTGCAAACAGGAGGACCACTACGAGTCTGATCTGTGTAGTGAAACCCTGTACACCCTGTACTAAATGCCAAAACAAAAGTCAGCCTGAGCTACTTAGGGAGAGCCTAATCTCAAAATGAAATCTTTGGGTAAGGCTGCTGGGGGAGCTCAGGTCTGGGATCCATTCCCAGCTCTGGAAAAAATAACTAAACCTGGGGGCTGGGGAGATGGCTCAGTGGAATAAGTGCTTCCCAGGCAAGCACAAGGGCCTGAGTTCAATCCCTGGTTCCAAAAAAAACAAAAAACAAAAAACTAAGCCAGCTGTGATGCACACACCTGTAATGCAGCCTGGCCCTACATAGTGAGTTCAAGGCCTGGGCTACATAGCAAGATCCTATCTCAACCAAAAACAGTGGGCTGGAGAGATAGCTCAGTGGCTTAAGTGCCTGCCTGGCAAGCACAAGGTCCTGAGTTCAATCCCTGGTACCAGGGTCAGGCTTGCCAGTTAGCCCCATTATTTAAGTGCCTGCATGCGCAAACCCAGTCAGGCGCAGAGGACCACATTTCGATCCCCAGCTCCACATGCCACACCAGACCCACCCTTAAGGCAGCCTGAGACAGCAAAAAAAAAAAAAAAAAACCTAAAGCCAAAGTTACAGTTGTTAGCAGAGTATATGAGTGCCACACGCCCATTTCCCAGGCAGCATCAGGAGAGACAGAGGCTAGATTCAAGCCCAGGTCCGCTCCAAACCCCAAGTTCACACCTCTGCGGTCCAGCCCCACCCACCCTTCCGGGCCAGAACTTCTGGAAACAAAAGCAGTTTCCTGCGCCTCGGTGGCCCACGGCTCGTTGGCACTGTGGCTTCCTGGATGCTGCGGCTGGCGCCAGGACGGAGCTGGGGCCGAGGCCCGGGAGCCGCCGTCCTGACCCACCCCTCCTGGTCCCTGGGCGGGAAGCGGGCACTGGGGGACCGGGTGGCACTGTCACGTGTCTGTGTCTGTGCGTGTCCTGTGTTCTCTCTTCTGAGGCTGCTTACGACCTGTCTCTCTCTCCGACGCCACCTCTGCAGGAGCAGCACACGGTAAAGTCCTCTCTTTCTCTTCCTGTCACTCTCTCTTCCTCTCTCTCTCTCTCTCTCTCTCTCTCTCTCTCTCTCTCTCTCACTGTCTCTCTCACTCTCTCACACACTCTGTCCCACGTCCTCTGTGCCCCGGTGCAGTCACATCGGCTCTGGTCTCTTCTCTGTGGCCCTGTGTCCTTGCAGCTGTCCTGTCGCTTATGATGACCAGAACCTGCTCCCCCAGAGGCCAAGGGAACCCAAAGGAGGCCATGACCTTGGCCATGACTCCCCAGCCCTGGCAGAAAACAAAGCAAGCGAAGGGGAGAGGGGAGGGTGGTTACGAGAGTCAGGAGGGTCTCCAGCCCCAGATGGGAGAACCCCAGATGGGTTCAGGAAGGAGGAGCAGTTGCCCCAGCCTAGAGGTGCGTCCGCACTGCTGTGGATCTGGCTTCTGGGGCGGCATCCTTGCTCTCCAGGCTCCTTTTAGGCGGCTTCCCAGCTTCCGTCCTCCTTCCTGCTCCTGGGTCCACTTTAGATGCGGGAACGCAGGCAGCCAGGCAGATGAATTCGCCCGTGGCTGGTGATTGGCACATGAGAATTTAGCCACTTGGGAGACTGAGGCAGGAGGATCTGAAGTTCAAGACCATCCTGGGTAATTTAGAGATTTAGCCAGAATCTGTCTCCAAATAGAAATGGAGTGGGGAATGTAGCTCAGCAGTAAAGCACTTGCCTAGCGTGCAAGAAGAGGTACTGGTACAAAAGGGGAAATTTGTGGGTATCTGGAGGCCATTATTAAAGACGACCAGCACACTCTGAGGTTTCGGCTCTAATAAGGACACCAGGCATTGTGGTGCACATCTGTAATCCCAAACACTCAGGAGACAGGAGTTCAATGCCAGCCTGGGCTACGTAGTAAGACAGGAGACAACAACATAGTAAGCTCAGGAGACAAAAAAACAAACAAACAAAAAAAAAAAAACCAGTCTGGGCTTGCTGGGTCTAAGAGCACCTTCTGCCCAGCCCACTAAAATCCAGTTTTCCTCCTGATTCCCTAAAAGTATCAGAAAGAAACATGGGGAAAAGACAAAGGATTTTTTTAAACAAAAACCAAGCAAACAAACGAAAAAAAATCCGATGGTTCTGCATGGGCTCTGCAGAACCATGGGGTGAGGGCCTCAGAGGCAGCCAGCTGTGACCTGGAAGGTGACTGAATAGAGAAGTTTGCACCCAGGGACACTCTCCTGGGGCCACTCAGGGTCCTGAGACATTGGACCAGAGCTGAGACAAGAGCCAGGGTCCAAGGAAGTGAAACCCTGGCAACCCCAGTGTCCACCAGGAGCTCCATTCAGTGTGGACAGCAGGACCGTCCCAGGCAGGGTCAGCCAGGGGGGCCTTGAGCTTGCACTTGGAGCTGAGCTGTGCACTGCAAGTGGAGCGGCAGACAGGCTTTGCCTTAGCAGCCTGTGGGCAAGGCAAACGGGGCACAGCAGCTGGTGACCACCAGGGACATCAGGCTGGATTTCAGAGCGCGTCACATGCTGTGTCGGGAAGTCTGGGAGTTCTGCTGAAAATCCAGTCTCAGGACTCTTTTAAGACAATGGCTGGCTCTGCTCACTGGCTTTGGCCACTGTGGGCAGAAAAGGTAGAAGAAGAGAAAGGTGTGAGGAGGAAGAGGGCGATGGGTGGGTGCCCGCATGCTCAGGAAGGTTCCCGGGCTGGGAGGGGTGCAGGCAGGTGACAGGCCCACAGGCACTGGTGTGGCCCCAGGGGAGAGTGGGGCGCCAGCCTACACCAGCCCTGTCCAGCTCCACAGATTGACCTCCTGCCTCTCTGGGGCCTGCATTGCCGAGCTTGGCCTGGTAGACGCTGGGCCAGACCTCAGTGAACCCCTGTGGTAGCTGTGGGCTCAGAAACCCACAGGAGGCTGAAGCAGGAACCTCCCCATGGCCAGTGGTCAACATCCGCATCTGAAAGGACCATGGGGGTGGCTCAGGACAGGCACAAGGAGGTCTCAGTGCCAAGGACTGTGCTCAGTGTCCCCAGCTCTGTTGGAATTGTCAAAGGCCATTTTTAAAGAGAACACAGGATCCCCCAACTTCCAGGCCCAGAAGTTTCCTGGAAGTCCCCATGCAGGATTAACGGCGGAGCAGCAACCAGAGGGTCCACCTCAGGCAGGCCACACAGTATCAGAAACCAAGCCTGAGCGAGGAGTGTGCTACAGGCCTGTCTTCCCAGCGCTTAGAAGGCTGAGGCAGGAGGATCTCTTGGAGTTTGAGGCCATCCTGTGCTCCATAGCCAGATCTTGTCTTACAAGAAAAAGAGAAAACCACCCTGACAGCAGAACCCTAAAAGCCTCTGTCTGATGCCTCCTCAGCCTAAACGTAGCAGAGCAGTCCTCCAGGAAGGACAGGGTTCACCTGGCTCACACCAGACTTTAGGCCTGAGAAGGTGGGGCCCAGGGAACTTAAGGGCTCCCACCTCCCAGCCTGACCACTGCGTCCTCTCTTCCCTTCTGCCCATCCTGATGCCCCCCCAACACACACAGTGGCAACAGCAAAGGAAAGGACATCAACACAATCAAATCTCTCCGTGTCCTCCGGGTGCTACGACCTCTCAAAACCATCAAGCGGCTGCCAAAGCTTAAGGTGAGATTTGGGAATGTGGAGGTGGAAAGGGTGCTTCCAGGAATCCCATGTACAGTTGAACAGGTTGCACACTGCTCAGGAAGACGCTGTCAGGTAGACATGGTGCATACCTGCAGTCCCAGCTACTTAGGAGGCTGAGTGGGAGCGTCACAAATTTAAGACCAGTCTGGTCGACTTAGACCTTGTCACTAAAAATAAATAAATAAAAAAATTAAGTCTGGGGGTATAGCTCAGTGCAAAGGCACTTGGTTTAATCTCCAGTACTGCAAAATAAAATTGGGGGGGGGATTCATGCTAAGTGATTGCCTAGCATATGTGAGGTGCTGGATTTAATTCTCAGTACCGTTAACAACTTTTTAAAAGAGTTGTTATCTTGAAAGAAGTGCCACTAACATTCTACGAGCTTCATAAATGAGAGTGTATTTAGGATTACAGGTACGTAGCAGGTGGCAGTAACGTGAACTCTCCTAACAGCCCTTGATGTTATAGCAGTTTTCCACTATGGAAAATGTCAAGTCCGGTGCCTTGTCTTAATTCATACGAAGGTATCGTACCAACATTTCCAGAATTCGAGCACCATTCTAATCCGAGAAGAAGGAAACTAGATCTCTGGATTTACGCCATCTGTTCTTCATCTCCTGTGGTCTGATATATCTGAGCCAACATGTCCCTACAGCTTGCTGTGAAAGGAAGAAGGAAGGGGAGAGAAAGAAAGACAGCCCAGAGATTCACACCCCTTTTTCAATTTATGTTCACTTACTATGTTTTGTTGGGTCAGGTCACTTAATTTGTCTTAAGTGAGTTTACTTTAAAAAGAAAAGCTCGAGGGCCAACAAGCTAGCTCAGTAGACTAAGCGCCTGCCTAGGCAAGGGACTGGGTTTGATCCCTGAACCATGTGCCACACTGGCCCTTACCCCAGGCGCTCTGAGCCAGCCGGCCACTGAGACTGGGCGTGGCGACATAGGTCCTATAATTCCAGCACTGGGGAGGCAGAAAACAGGAGAATCACTGCCTGCAAGTCCGAGCTGTATGGCAAGACTCTGTACCATAAAGAAAGAAAGAAAGAAAGAGAGAGAGAGAGAGAGAGAGAGAGAGAGAGAGAGAGAGAGAGAGAAAGAAAGAAAGAAAGAAAGAAAGAAAGAAAGAAAGAAAGAAAGAAAGAAAGAAAGAAAGAAAGAAAGAAAGAAAAAGGCTCAGCTGGGTATAGCAGTGCAAGCACACCTTTCATCTCAGCACTGGGAGGCTGAGGTAGGAGGATCACAAGTTCAAGCCCAGCCTGGACTAAACAGTGAGTTTAAGGCACCCCTGTCTCAAAAAGACAAAAAATTTTTTCTTTGGGTCTGAAACATAAAAAAATTTTTTTGTCTTTTTGAGCCAGGGTCTCACTATGCAGTTCAGGCTGACCTTGAGCTCACTTTGTAGACCAAGCTGGTGTCTAACTCGCAACAATCTTCCTGCCTTAACCTCACGATTACAGGCGTGAGCCACCAAACCAAACTAACAAGAGAAATTTTTAAAAAGCTCCTGCCAAATCTCCAAAGTGAAAATCCAGAACCCCCTGTTAATAGAAGAGAAAACTAAATTTTTTTCTTGGAATAAAACGAATAGTGTTACTAAAAGCCAAACAATGCTGCAGGACAAAGGCTTCGCACTTGGACACCTGCTTTTTCTTGGCTAAGAAAAAGTAACAGGGAAGGGAAAGGAGGCAATAATAATAATAATAATAATTTAAAAATAAAAAGAGAAAGTTCCACTGCCGGGCATTGACACAGTAGCGTGGAAATAGGACTTTCTCCCTGCTCAGGAGTGGAAGGAAGCTGAGGAACAACTCTGTTACCTCGTGATTCCATGCTGGATTCCTGTGCTGTCTAACAGTATCTCTGAGTGACAGGGTATGGTGGCTCATGCCTGTCATCCCAGCACTCTGGAAGTGCTGAGGCAAGAGGATCCCAAGTGTGTGTGTGTGTGTGTGTGTGTGTGTGAGCTTAGCCCAGCTGGGGGCAAGGCTGGCATGGCGCATGGCATATGGTGCCCGGGATCGAACAGCAATCCCTGCGCTACCTAAGCTTGTCTAAACAGGCGCTTTAAACCACTGAGCTATCTCGCCAGCCCCATGGACCCCCAGCTTTGAACCCAGTCTGGGCAACTTAGCACTGTACCAAGAACCTGACTCGAGAAAAGGCCTGGGGATGGAGCTCAGTACAAAGGCAGCGGGTTCAGTGCCCAGTTGCAGGAAAGAAAAGAAAATGAAATAGTTATCCCTGATGGCTGCTGGAGAGGCAGCGGCCCTCATGGCTGCAAATGGGGTGAGTGTCCATTTGGGGGAAGCAGGTTCAGCCAGGAACGAGATGGCTGCACCTTGGAAGGAGAAACTTGAAACTCGTGGCAGCGCAGGCTGCTCCAGGTCATCCTGTTCCAGTCACAGCCCCCTTTGAGCACTTCCCAAAAGCCCGGCCTCCCACCCCTGGGCAGCTGGCCACACTCCACACTCCACCCGCGCTGCCACTAGGCTCAGCCTCTCTTGTTAACCACTGTGATTAGGAGGAATCAGTGTAAAGGTAGAGTAGAGTAGAAGACTTGCTGAACAGGCCGGGGTGACTGAGAAGCTGCAGGTCATGAGGGGGGACTCTCCGAGTGGGACCCTTCCTCTTCTTTGGGAGCACCTGGAGGGTGCCATCTGTCAGCTTGCCGTGTACAGGTTCAGCTGGCTCCAAAACACCACATTGGAGGTACCAGGAATGTCACAGCCATTGTACCTCAGACCCCAGGCACCTAGAGCCTGCTCTCAGGTCCGGGGAGTCCCCAGCTGCTCAGCAGGCAGGGCGATGTCCTGTGGGTTTTCAGCCACCTCTGGATCACTTAGAACACTTGGTGCCATGAACATACGGGGAAGTCATTATGCTGTTTGGCTTAGAGAATCAAGACTGGAAAAAAAAAATGTGTATGTTCAGGACAGGTACGATTTTCTTCCCCAAATATTCTCCATGCAAGGTTGGTCTAGTCCATAGATAAAAGAACCCGTGGGTATACAGTGTGCTGGTAGCGTATACTTCTAACCCCACCTGTTCATGAAGCTGAAGCAGAAAGCTCTTGAGTTCAAGGCCAACTTGAGCTACATGGCAGAGGGGGAGTCCAGCATAAGCGCCTGCCTGGCAAGCACAAGATCCTGAGTTCAATCCCCAGTACTGGGGAAAAAAAAAAAAAAAAAAAAAAAAACAGTTACATAGGGAGACCCTGTCCCTCCACTGCACCACCAAAAAATCATAGAACCCACAAGAACAGAGGGGGCAGGGGCT